TATGTATATATATATTTGACAGTGAATCTGATAGGTTTAGAGGATAGATCGTCTCTAACAGTATGTGTGCATGCTCAACGTTCAAAACATATTGTATTCAGGTTTTTGCAATTGGGGTTTGCCTCGATGAAATTAATGGTTGTTGTACATTGCTATAGCTGTGTTGACAACAACTTTTTTACAAAGTAGCTTATCATCTGTCAGTGACGCTCGGGATTTCATATTGCAACTGATCCGGATAATCACACTTCAGGTTTATTCAATACAGCCACAAGTGTGCCTGTTCCGTTCGGAGTTAGAAATTATATAGTTACAGCATTGTGCTTGGATGTCGATGTAGAGATTGTGTATGGCACTACCAGGAACTGAAGACCTGGTTATTGTATATCTCTCTCGACCGAGTGCTTCAAACGTAGCTTTGAGTCGGGATAGGAGTATCCATACTCAATCTACTGGCACCAGTCTTATTGGTACAAAGCGTGTGTCCCACTTACTTCCACTGACTCCACATAGCACCTATATACTGCAGCACACACCGAATTCATTGATGAGAGTGTTGAACATGTTTTAGGTATTCGTTTAGTGAGTAGCCGTGCATGCAACGAGGAGTCTGGATTGGTACTAGCACTAGTAGTCACCTTTATCCTAATTTGTGGCTGTAGAATATATTTAGAGTTTAAGGTTCAAGGTTTAGAATGGTGATCCCGTAGTTAGGAATGTGTGTAGTATTTGGCACTTGCTTTATAGTCTTATCGGAGATGTCTTGTGTCCGTCCTACTCTAATGCGCACTCGAAACGCTATCGCTCGGAGACTTAGCTGATCTAGATTGTACACAGATTCGTTTATGACACGCTGTTCAATGTTTCTCATTCCCCTGACGGCCCTATTGACAGACTTCTTATCATCGTAGTAATGTGTTGTTTTCTACCCATGCACACACCCCGTACCGAATATAGACCCCTGACAATCCCTCCGAAAACCCCCTAAAGGCCCTACTGCACGTGCGTATGATGCCTGTGGTGTGGGACACAGTTGAGCAGCTAGTCCCCAGACTACATGCCGAAGTGCTGAGCTATGACAAGGAAGACAGCCACAAGGGCAGTGTGTGTATTCACGTGGGTGTGGGCCAGCCGGGGTATGCGTGTTGGGGTGTGTGGTTGTACTGAACATCCGAACCACCTCAACCTGCTTGTTGGGATGAGGCTGAACTCGCCTGCAACCACTCTGTGTGTACCTACACGTTGGCTTTTAAGCCGATCCTGTATTCTGCTCAACGTTTCCTATTCTCGGCTGAACGTTTCCGATTGTCTGCTGAACGTTTCCTATTTTTATGAACGTTTACTATTTTCTGCTTAACGTATACTGCATTCTGCTGAACGTCTACTGTTTTGGTTCTGCAGCGCCATTCGAATTGAGACGTGTGCGTTCAATGGAGAGCACACTCGATTGGATGCGGCACAGAAACTGCCGTGTGCAACTAAAGCCGGCAAATGCATTACAGGTATCTCCTGACGCGCAATGGGCGTCTCTTTGTTAACTGTTGTCCATGCCGCACCGGCTGATAGGCAGTATTTAAACCATTAGCTTTTTAACCATCGATCCTTAACACCACGAGTCCTTAGAAACTATCAATCATTTAAACAATAAGTCATTTGAACCAACAATGTGTTAGAAGTAGCCAGGCAATTGCCATACGAATGTGCAGAGTATCTGGTAGAGCCTCAAACGGTCAGAGTGGTACTCTGAACGGGATCTAAGGAACGGCCTTATATAGTAAATAATGGACTCTCGGTAGTGTTTTGGTGATGCAGTAGAGTTGTGCTTTGCAAGTACCCAGTGTAATACGTAGTCCTGAATTGTCGATATATTCACACACAGATAAGCGTTTGGGGGCGGGTGCGCCTGCATGCTTGAGCCTGAGCTTGAGCTAGTTATGAATGTGGTCAATGGTCATATCACTTCAATTGGGCGTACCACATGGCAGCAGCAGTGTATAGTTCCCATATGGCAGAATGAAGATACTTTCTTTGGCATACATACTCCCATATGACTGGTATTACCTTTTTGGTATACACATTCCGTATGACTGGTGTTTCCTTTTTGGTATGCATACCCCCATATGACTGGTATTACCTTATTTGGTATCCATATTCCCATATGACGGATATTTCCTTTTTTGGTATACATACTCCCATATGACCGATATTACCTTTTTGGTCTAAATGCTCCCATATAACTGGTACGTCCTCTTTGTTCTCATGCCAGGGGGTGCGGATGAGCTGCACACGTCCGTGGATGTCGACGCAATCGTAGACGAATTGTCCAGCTCCGATCTAAAAATAGAACGCTCGAGTAAGCGCATGACACGAGCACTGTACTATGCACTTCCCTTGCTGCACTGAACTTATGTATTTTATGCTTGCTCGGTTTGTTTTCTGCATAAGCAAGACCATTTTTACATAGGTATATGTGGTTCGTTGTTGATTCTTGTATCAACTAAAATTCGGTCCCTAATGTAGCATGTTATGTATGTTGTATATGTAGGTGTCTGTAGGTCATATATGTGTGTATGTATGTGTTATATATATACATCATACATGACAAAAACGCATATACAACGCATACAACACACACCCCAATACCACATACAACAGTTAACTTATTACACTCTTCTCCTCGCAGATGACGCGGGTAGGTATCTGTGCAACTTCTCGTTCTATTTGTCTCAGGCTCTGACCAACAATGCCATTCCAGTGCTCTTCATCCATGTGCCTCCCATCGGTCACCCGCACACCAAGGACGAACTAACACGCGGCATCAAGGCCATTCTAGAGTGTGTGGTGAAGCAGAGGTTCTGCCAATAAAGCACCGCATCTACTTACCTAGTCCTATACCACTCCCCCACAAGAGAACATATTTGGATTATAAAACCCTAAAACAATATCGTTCTTATCCGTGGAGTGTATTTCGGCCAATTCGCAGTCGCACCAGCGGTTGCCTGTCGCAATACACACTGACTGCATACTTCGTATCGAATTTTATTTCTACAATAATTTATTTTGCAAAATTCTCGCATACAAGTCGGAGAAGCGAAGGGCTATCGACAACAGTGATAAAGGATTTTCAAATACCCGGTTTACGCTAGGTGCTTTAGGGTTGTAGGGTTTAGAGTTAGGGTATAGGGTCTAGTAAACCAGTCTTCCGTTGCCACTTAACATGATTCTCTTTGTTAGTGAAATCGCGTTGGGTATCGAACTTCAAGGATCTAGGGACAGGGTTTAGGGTTTTAGTCCCTTATTTCAGTGATGAGAAGTCTTGCCTCTGCCTCAGGCCATAGACAAATCAAAGCTCATCTCCCCCTCCTTCTCATTGAAGTCGGCGTCAAATACCATCTTCGTACCTGACAGACGGACGACAAACAAATTAAGACAACGAGCGAGCAACTTTGAGTACCGTAACTCTCGCATTAGAATTTATAAATACCTGCTCACACGGAGACTGCTCACACTTAAGATACATTAAATCAGTGTGCATATTGGCCTGCATCTATGCTATGCTATTGCCAATGCGTCCCAAAAATAAAAGCAAAATCAGGAATTAGGAATATCCAATTCAACATTTGCTTATCCTGACGCCAAACCTCCCAATTTCCGCCTACCTGTTTGTACCGTGGGTGGCGACCGAGTGACAAAAGCAGCCTGCTTCAGATACGGTGCTGCTACGACTGACTCGCTGACGATACTGTCAGGATCATCGTTCATTTGGTAGGCCATCCACAGTACTATGCCGTGGATGTCCCCAGATGCAGTGCACTCGACTGTTATACTGGAGCTCTGCATATGGGACGAGACAATACCGGATTCATCAGTATACAAACTATAGGAGAATTGGGGTTATCAGTATACAAAATATAGGAGATTTGGGGTTATCAGTATACAAACTATAGGATAATTGGGGTTGTCAGTATACAAACTATAAGATAATTGGGGTTATCAGTATACAAACTATAGGATAATTGGGGTTGTCAGTATACAAAATATAGGAGATTTGGGGTTATCAGTATACAAACTATAGGAGATTTGGGATTGTCAGTATACAAACTATAGGGGCATTGGGGTTGTTTATAGCTGCATGCCATCTATTAGCAACGGCTTCCGATAGGCATTCAGCGTCTGCAACCAATCCGTAGCAGTCCGTAGACTTCGCTTCCCACACATCTTCAGCAGGTTGCTAGGATACATGAGGCCGTTGGCATGGGGGTATCGGCCAGTTGGCGTTGGTATGTGATACTTGGCGACAAAGCTAAAAGACAGGAACCCTAAACCCTAGCGGAACTCTAAACCCTAGCTGAACAGACCAATACAGCCAATGCAAACGCACGGAAGAAAACACCAAACAGATGTAGCCAGAAACCCATTTAGTCACTGTATCAGTTAGCAGCCATGGGGTTTCCGGCTATGTAACCATGACAACGGATTCTACGCATACACCACCCTCCAACACTCACCTTTCGCTCGACGTCTTGATAGAAATCGAATCCCAAGACATCGAAAGGTTCACTCAGAGGGGTGTAGCCGTACTCACTCATAGTGTACGCGTACACACCTCCTGCACGACCTGATCATACGGGAAAGTGAGGACATGCGCTCAGAACCAGTACAATGATAGTTAAACAGACTTGTGATTACTTGTTTAAGTGCTGATATGCACTTATGCGCGTCCTGATCATACAGGAAAGTGGGGACATGCATTCAGAACCAGTACAATGATAGATCAACAGACTTAGAATTATTAGTATTAGCTTAACTGGACTAACCAACAATTCGCAATCTTGTAGACCCTTTGTCGGATCTACCCAGTCCGTTAAATATAATCACGTACACCGGCAAAACCCTAGGAACCATAGAATCCATAAACCCTAGCAACCTTAGAATTCAGAAACCCTAGAAACCTTAGAAGTCATAAACCTTAGAACCCTAGAATTTATAAACTCTAGCAACCTTAGAATTCAGAAACCCTAGAAACCTTAGAAGTCATAAACCTTAGAAACCTTAGAAGTCATAAACCTTAGAATCTTAGAATTTATAAACCCTAGAAACCTAAGAATTCAGAAACCCTAGAAACCTTAGAAGTCATAAACCTTAGAACTTTAGAATTAATAAACCTTAGAATCTTAGAATTTATAAACCCTAGAAACCTAAGAATTCAGATACCCTAGAAACCTTAGAAGTCATAAACCGTAGAATCTTAGAATTAATAAACCCTAGAAACCTAAGAATTCAGAAAACCTAGAAACCTTAGAAGTCATAAACCTTAGAGCCCTTGGAATTGGCAATCGGAAACTCACCTGCACGGGCGTTCGCTGTGAGCCGATCAAAAGCTGATAAATCAAATCCCAGTTTCGTTCCTGATAGTATATGAAATCCAGAGCGGAGTATGTTAGGAGGGATATACCTACAGATATACCTACAGATTACAGATACACGAGCTACACACTTCTAAATGGGATAGTGAAAACACAGGAACACAATGAACCGATAAGAAATGTATTACTATCAGGGTTGAGCGGTCATTATATATATATTTATATATATATATATATATGTATATATATATATAAATGTCCGCTCAACCATATATATACACTCACATTTACAGGCACACACACACACACACACACACTATATATA